GTATTTTCCAAAGTCGGGAAAACAGTGATCCGGATATATTGGCAAAATCCACAATCCACACAACATGTTGTGTGGATTGTGGCAAAATCGTTACTACTAGTTTTTATATCTACATAATAATAATAATATGGAGTTTCATCAAGTAAAGGTCGTATATTTATTTTTGAGCATACATGAATATTAGACTGGTTGGTAATTCAATTTTTTTTTTCTGATTTTAAACCGCCGGGCAAAAAAAGTTTTTTTGTAACCTAAAACTTTTCTATTTAAATTTTGGTGACGATCGGATAATATTTAATAGCCGCGCCCAGGTGAGGAAATTTAAATATACAAAATATTCAGAAAATTGTTTTTATTTGGATTGTTTATGAGTGAATGCATGCACAAAACTTAAATTAATCAAAGAAATAAATATTCTGTTAAATGGTTAATAGAACAACATTCACAAAAAGCTATTAATGTCCAAATTCGGTTAGAATTTAAAAAAGGTTCTTGAATATTTTACATTAAATTACTAAGTGCGGTTTTGTTACAGGAAGGAAACTTTTTGCGATATGCTTCAACAAACTGATGACAAATTGCTTCTGTTCTTCATTTTGAGTCAAATTATTAGCAATGCAACTACATACTAATTTATACATAAAAAATAAGTTTACTACGCCATAATTAAATTTGTTTTAAAAATATTATTTTTATTAATATTTTCCGTATTTTCATATTTACCTGCCTGGGCGCGGCCACTAAATATTATCTTATAACTACAAAATTTTAAATGAGACATATTTAGGCCAAAACAAAACTTTTTTCGCCCGGCGGTTGAAAAAAAATTTTTTACGACCAGTCTAATGAATATACATGATTATATATTTTTTTCCCTGGGTGAAAAAAATAAGATAGGTACATTGTTTCGCTTAAAGCCTTCAGCTCCAGAGTGGCTGGTTGCCTCTGATTAAAAAAAAAAGATTGGGTGCCGGAAAGCAAAACTTGTTATTATTATTATTATTATTATTTATTTATATCCAACAGGCACGGCCTAATTACAGAAATAAGTTTTATACATTGTATTTATTTTAATCCCAAATCTCTCTTAATCCATGTTTATTTCTATCCAAAATCTACATCCCCATCAGCCTCGGTAATGGGATCAACAGATATATTATAATAGGATTGCACGTCTCTATCAAAATTATTTATGTTAGATTTCTTGTATAAATTAGAAAAATATTCCCCCTTCTTATTTACTATGTCTAGTGGCTTATCATAACACGTAATATTGTAATAAACATTGTTTGGTTTTCTAGATATTCCTTTCTTTAACTGTATAAACGACCAAAATGAATGATTTATATTGTTTTATTTTAATATAAACTACACTGTTTAAAAGTTTCACTATTTTGATTGATGATTTATATTATTTTCAGTTTTCAATCGATATTCTTTATAAGAGTCAGATATTTGTTTTTTTAGCATAGTTCTTGTATGTTTAAAAAGTTCTAGGTATATTGAAATTTTAGTGCGTTTATATTTTTTGTGATAATGCTTTTTTTTATTTATATTATAAATTATAGTTTTGCTGAACCAAGGAGGGTAATTTATTTTACGTTTAGAATTAGATTTATTCGGAATACATTCGCTAAATATTCCATTTATAGTATTATAAAACTCATCACAGGCTAGATCTATATTTTTAATATTTTCAATAAAAGTCCAATCAATGCCAAGAACGCTATTATGTAAAAGAGGAAAATTTGATTTTCTAAAGTTGAATTGAATATTTGCGCTGTTTTCTTCAAAGTTTGAGTTATTTTGCAAGTTAAAACTTAAAAATATATTCAAAGCTGGATGATATGAATCAACCTTAACCATAAGACAATGATCATACACCACATCGCAATTAAAATTAGCATAGACAAGATCTAGAATTCGTTCAAAACTGTTTTTAACATCATTATATTGTACTAAATTACATAAATCTGCAAATGACAAAAATTGACTGCTCTTTTTATCACTAACATTACAACTTTGTCGAATTTATGTAAAAAACAACCATTATTTGACATTTTTGTCGTTTATTTTAATTATTGAATTAAAAGGGCAACAAAGTAAACAAGTTTTGGTATTTTTTATCCAAATTAAGCCCACAAAATTTAATGCATTGAATAATTTTGCTTTTTTCTACCTTAAATTTATTAAATAGTTTTAAATATCGAATTAAATTATAGTATTATTGTGCTTAATCCTCATCATCGTCGTAAATCCTTTGCTGCAAATTCCAGCAAATGTCTCCTAGCAATAAATCCAACTTATTTCCGCTATAACCATAGATATCTACCAATGCTCTAGATTTGCAGTTACTTGGTGAAATCGTTTTCCATGTTCATCAGTTCGGCAAATTTATCGGGATGAAAAAAAAGAAAATGACATATTAACGCTAATTCTTTACAAAACAGAGAGTATTTCTTCCCCGATATGAACCAAGAACATTTTAAATGACAGCTTTAACACTGCCATATGCGACAAGCTCGTCAACTTTTAATGTATTTTTGAATGCTTTATCTTTCATTAAAAGTCTTATATAAGATCCATTTAATATTCCTGCTAAATTAAAGTAGTAGGTAAATAAATTTTGTAATGAAATATTGCGTTAGTTTTTCTTGGGCGTCAAGGCACCGCAACAAAAACAAAACAAATTTAAAACAACGACATAAAGGTTCGTATCCTTTCTCTTCTTCTGTCACTTCTGCAGAAAAGGGCTTTATTAAATATCCCTTATATAATACTATAGTATACGGCTACAAATAACAAATAATAATTTTATCAGAAACTGGGTTTTGAAGTTTTGAGCTTCTTATATATCTTCTAAATTATCATATAAGGACGTATGTCAAATTTAACAATTTTACTGAGCAATTTAAATACTTAAAAAAGGACAACTTTGGTAATATGTTTTTTTTTAATATTAATATTTTAAAATATTTCCCAATACCAAAACAAAACACAAAGTGTTTAAAGTACTTTTCGCCAACGATGTTGGCATCTTCAGAAGCGAAGTGTTACTAAATCTTACTGCTAAATCTACCATATTTATACTAATTACACTAGTTTACAGCCATTTTTCCCACTATATCTCATAATGATTTTCTTGTGTAGTTTGGCTCACTAAAGGCGAAAATCACACTTAACATTTTTTTCATGCAGATTTGGATCGTATCATATACTAAGATCTTTTTCACTTCATTAAATGCATCTTCATATTCCTCGTTTCATACTACCTGCTTTTCATTCCTCAATAAATTATATTTTGGTTTGAGTATCTCTGATGCTATTGGGATGAAATAATTTATAAAAATAAGATTAAATTAAGATTAAAAACCGACAATACTATGTTTAGATTTTACAATTATTCTCTGTTTAAACCAAATGGATTTGTTAATTTGCTTGTTTTATGTTGTAATAAAACTGAATATGTGAAATTTTATGTTGTAGATGGTTCATATTAGGTGGAGCATGGTCAACAGTATTATAACTCAAAGGAATCAAAAAGAATTGCGCCTATACTTGCGCCTGCATCGCACAATATTTCAAATTGTTTATTGTTTATAAATACCTTGGGCTTAAAATTGTTTAAAACACCCTTACTGTTTTTGTTTACATTAGAAATAAACCACAAATCGTCAACACACTTTTCTTCCTCATTTTCTTGCATAAAATTTATTCTTCTTATTCTTGCGACATAATTCATGGACGTATCTCATTTTCCATAATGTCTATATATAGACATTATGGAAAATGAGATACGTCGATGAATTATATATGAGTAATTCTTTTATAAACCGAACACCTTTTGACCGACACATCTCAGATTTGCTTGAAACTATTTTTACGGATTCTATGTCGAAAAATAAGAGATACGTGTCCGAGGAATTTTTTTTCTCTCGCATATTTTCGATAATACAAGCTATCGAAAATTTGAGAATAACGAGTTTTTTGAGTTGGAGAATCATTTTCAAAAATTTATAACTCTGGTTCTATTTGAGCTACAAACTTCTTTTAAAGCTAAAGGACTGAATTTTCATAAAAAAATATTTTTAATAAATATTATTACCAAATTCATAATTTCAATTTATTTGAAAAGTGAGGTTATGTCAAAAAATAGTTAAAATAAAAATTCTTAGTAGTCTTAGTAGGGGCGAGAAAGTGAGTGTTTTTACGGCTAGCCTTGCAAAAATAATCACAATTGCCTTGGAGGTAATTTCTTTACTCCGTTCAATAGATAGCACTAACTTAAAATACAGTTAAAATTAAAAAATAATATTTTTACTATTGTAATTAATTAATTTTGGTAATTTTACTTCAGATTGTTGCGAAAATTTATTTGTACCCCATAACTAATACCTATAGGATGAACACGAATAACAAAAAAAATTAATTTGGTTTCGAAAGGTTTTTATTTTTTTTCAAATATTTTAGGAACCGCTGGCAATTTTTCCAATCTATAAATTTTATTTTATTAGCTTTGTAACTACGCAACTTTTCTATAATTTAACCCACCTTGTAGCTCCTCAAATAAAAAAAATCCCTTAGAAGTATTATACACATTAATGACACTGGGTGACACACTGTTTATGATAAATACCATATTTCTTCAATTTTATTGCAAAAAAATGTTTCGCCGTATATAAAGATTTAAGTACATTTTAAGCTTCATAAATAATAATATTATTATACACCGGAACTTTTCCAGCGATGACGTCAAAATGTTAACAAAAATCAGAGTTAAAACAGTAAACACTTATCTTTATACATGTGCAAAAAATAACTATAATATCACAATATAATCATTTTTATGTAATCACTGGAAAACTTTCGCGCTATAAATATTATATAGAATTTTTTTTTTCAGATTCAAACGTTTTGATAACAAATTTATACGACCGTACCTGCTACGGAACCACCAAGGAGCAGAGCCAAAAATTTTGGAGACATACTCCAAATTAGCAATGCGCGACGCAATGGAATACATGCGTAGAAATGCTTCCACAATTGGTAACATTTCTGGAACGGAGAGCATGTCTGCAATCTTCAGGAACTACACAGCGGGTAACCTCAACGGCAGGTGCGCCCCCAAATTAATCACCTGGTAAACTAACTCGGCACTGATCGCTACTTTAATATACTTCAAAAGTAGCTTCATGCATGCACTTAAATAACAGACCATGCTTGTTAGTGGTACCTATATAATAGTCTTTATTAGCTACAGGGGTGATGAGCCTAAAAGGGATTTTGGACCCGTAATGAGACTTTGCTCCGCTCATTATACATTATTACACTTACTTTATTTGGTTAATGCATTTTTTACACAACACATTATATTACAAATAATATGGATTTTTTTCATAGTCTCTGATCAAAGGTATCATCGTTAACTAAAGAAAACGGTGATACCTTACAATGCTTTTACTGTAATACCCTGTTTTTTAAAATAAGTTGCATTTTTATTATTTGGGTAAAGTCTTAAGCCACCTTTAATCTCCTTTTAAATATTTTTTTTTCCTTTTTTAATTTTAAAATTTATAAATTAAATTGAATTTAAACAAAATCTAACGTTTTTTTTAAATAAAATAAACGTAAACGTTAAATATATTATCGGTTGGGCCCTTTTTGCAAAAGGGGGTCCTTTGAAAATAACCATATTGAATGATATATGAACTAAAATTACGAAATTATAATTTTATAAATCGATGTTCAAATAATAATTGTGTTAATACAGCACCAAATATGTTTTTTTAGGCCCGGTAGAATATCCTTACTAAATTAAATTAAATATTATAATTATAATATTATATGATCATAATCAGAGTCGGATATTCACTTTGTTCTGGATATTAGTGTACGAATATTAGTAAAAATTTTGACATTTTTGTATAATTGACTGGCATTTTTTTCCTTTTACCCTTTGAATAAAATAAAAAAATGCAAATGTCAATTTTTTATTTTTTTCCGAAAAAACGGTTTTTTTCCTCCGGTTCAATTTTTCAGGAAATTTTAAAACCCTAGTTGGACAGCATCCTCAAATTGACCTTTCGACGATTTATTAGAAAATGCATCATCATAGATCAATGTGGAGTACTAAAAAATTAAAATTATTTTGAAAAGACGTTTTTTTGAGTATAAGTATTGACGTGTCCATAATATTTTAATATTGTAGTATTCGGATGAAAGCAATAAACAATGAGACGAAAAAGCAGTTTTATTATTAAATTTAACTATTAAAATTTCGGTCGATTTTACTTATGTTTAATTAATTATAAATAATCATAGAAGTTCGGGCCAAGAAAATCTCTTCGAGTGCTTATTCTAGACATAGAACACTAGGTCCTCCTAAATTTTTGTGCGATTCGGAGTTGATAGAAATCTGTACTGGAGGGTCAAAATTTGCAATATTTTTAAAAACACCAACTTTCTTTGAAAAGCAATATTAGCGATCCTTGCAGGCAAATAAAGTTTTTTTAGTTACTCGCTTGAAGAGCATACATCAACGAAAAAAATGAACTATAGCGAGAGCAGATCAGTTAAAAATTGAATTTTTGGCAGCCATTTAAAAATGGTCATTTTATTGAAATTTTTTTTTAACTACGTCCCAAATAAAGGTCAAATGGTCTAGGTCTAAAATATTTTTTTATACACACTAAAAGATATAATAAACAAAACATGATACAAATAATTATTATAATTATATTATTATTATAATTATATTATAATTTAATTCCGGCTTAAAGTTATTGAGAGTCAAATTTTCAAAAATAAGCTAAAAATAGTGAATTTTAGTCCTTTAAATAGTCATTTTTCGTGACCTATGGCACTTAGACGGTTGAATTTTGGTTCGTGGGGATCTTTTATGATGTACTCCAAGATTCCCAAGTTTGAACAAAATCGATTGACCTCTCCCGAGAAATTATTCGAAATGTAATGGAATTACTCATATATACATATATATATATACATGCACGGCTATTAATACGAAGCCCGGTGCATTACACTGGCTAGTCGAAGCCCGGTAATGCGGGACGGGGCGGTTAACTGTTCGTTGGTGCATAAACAACAAGAGACACACTTTGCTGTGTATCAGAAGCCCTGCGGTGTTGCCAATGTCTAAATTTATAATTATAGGCAAATTTGATTTAAAATACCTAGACTATACCTAAACTTAACCTATATTTTTAAATAATGACGTAGGTATACTTAAATATTTAATAATATTGTTGAATTATAATTTTTATAATAAAAATTATTATAATAATAATTATTATTAAATTAATTATAAGTCATTATTTAAAAATATTGTCTAAATTTATAATTATAGGCAAATTTGATTTAAAATACCTAGACGATACTTAAACTTAACAATATTCTTAAATAATGACGTAGGTATACTTAAATATTTAAGAATATTGTTGAATTATAATTATTATAATAATAATTATCGTTAAATTATAATTATTTATATTATAATAATTTAAAAGTATTGTTGAATTTAGGTACCTATAGGTATAAACATTTCATTTATTTTGTTTATACATCATAATTTTGAAAAGGTTTAAATATCTTATACAGGGTGCTCTACAAGCTCTATGGCAAACTTTGTCAGATGATAGCTGGGTTAATTATAAACATTTTTTCTTAAATGACATGGATGCGATTCGTTTTTGTTTAAAAGTTAAGCCTTTAAAAATATATTTCCATATGTTAATAAAAAATATACAAATATATCAATAATTATAATTATTATAAGAATTATTGTTGAGGTTAGGTAATTTTGTGTAAAACTTAAATGGGAATCAAAACAAGTGAAACTGACTGAATATTTTTTTCATGAATTATAAAGACATTTAAATACACCAAAAATTCTAAAAAATCTAAATAATGACATATACTTTAATACACTGCCCGACAAAATTATCGCATAATAAATATAAAAAAATTACCTCTAAAACGCCTTTACCAATCTTTATGAAATTTTTGATAAAAATACTTCAACTTATATCTCAATTTACTTTAATTACTCTTTTTATTTAATAATGAAAAAATGTTCGAAATATAACTTTTACGGAATTTTTTTAAATAAATAAAAAATATGCTGTTAAAGAGCGTATTTTTTTAGTACACCCTGAACATTAACGAAGATACAGCGCTTCAAAGTCGGTAAAAATGACGCCTTTTTGATTATTTTTCTGAAAAGTGGTCATTTTTCACGACTTTGAAGCGCTGTATCTTCGTTACTGTTCGCTTGATTTGTACAAAATTTTCAGGGTATACTAAAAAAATACGCTCTTTAAGAGCATATTTTTTATTTATTTAAAAAAATTCCCTAGAAGTGATTTTTCGAACTTATTTTCATTATTAAATAAAAAGGCTTTAAACATATTTTCTCGAAAAACCCTTGAACACGTAAATTGAGATATAAGTTGAAGTATTTTTATCCAAAATTTCATAAAGATTAGTAAAGGCGTTTTAGAGTTAATTTTTTTTATTTATTATGCAATAATTTTGTAGGGCAGTGTATTTAAAAATAGTGTTATTTATAATTATTTTAATAAAAACTATTATATTATTGAATGAATTATAAGTCATTATTTAAAAATATTGTCTAAATTTATAATTATAGGCAAATTTGATTTAAAAGACCTAGACCATAGTTGAGGACCATCCGTGGAAAACCGGCTATATCCATTTTAATAAATGTTGGGAAAATTTAGAAAAACTAAACCAAATTAAAAGTTAAAAAATAAAAAAAAATAAGTGGGGAAAATTGCTATTTAGTTTAGTCCTATAAACAAGAAAAATGTATTACAAACCAAATATTGTTTTATGCTACATTATAAAGTTAAAGCTGCCTTTTATCCAATAAAAATCGTAGATAAAATATTACTTTATCAAAACGGTTGATAAAATATTATTGTAATGGTAAGTATAAATGGACAATCCTTATCTAAAAGAAACCAAGCGCCAAAAACTATTTTTGGACTTAACAACATTTTTTGTAAAATAACTCATTTTTAATAATGCTCAAAAAGTTTCTCATTATTTAGAACTTCTTTTAAATTATTGAGAGGACTTTCAAATTATAATTAAGTTTTTGAGCAACATTAAAAATGAGTTAGGTATATACAAATAAGTTTGTTAAGCTCCGAACAAGTTTTTGGTTCCTTTTAGATAAGCACTATCCAAATAAAGAACCCAATTTCTTATTGTTGTTTGGTCGTTGTTTGCCATGTATAAATAAATTGACCAGTTGTGAATGTTAATTGACAAATTGCCATGAGAAGCTATCTGTCAAAAAGCAGTTTTTGCAATTCAATGTTATAACATGTATACATTAAAATGATATTTAATAAAAAATAATTTTTAATTTATTTCATACCGCTATTGGAAAGTTTTTAAATAAATTAAAAATTATTTTTATTAAAATTGGAAATGTTTCAAATAAATTAAAAATTAATTTTATTTAAATTATTTAAATGTAACATTGAATAATAATAATAATAATATATACAAATCCCCTTGTTTCCCCAATTAAAACTATGTAAAATATCTCGACAACTTGTAAAACCGCCCCAAAGAAAAATGCACTCCAAATAATATTTCAAAAATAAATATTTCTTTAAAATTAAGTGTATTACGAAAGTATTTAACAAAACATTGCCTTTTAATCCACGCCATGTAGTGAACAAAACATAATTTTGGGAATATAACATTTGTTTTGAAAATCAGTAGATACAAATTTAAGAATCCCGCATTATTTTCCCCGCCATCCTATCAAAAAGTCATCGAGCGTATAGTCCCCATTGTTGCCAGATGTACGGGCTTCGTATACTGCGTAATACTTATACAAAGCTGTATATAATCTCGTTTGACTCGTGTGCCCCCTACCGCCAAAGCATTGGAACTAAGGGTGTATATTTTGATAGGTTTGAATGGCATTAGGAAGCCCACCACTTTTTCGCCATTGAAACAAGGGGGCATCACTTAACTCTAAAACAAATTTATACACGCTAATTTTAGGAAGCCCGATTTCGGGCTTCCTAAAAACCGAGTGGGCTTCGTTTATACTGTAGAATATAACGTTTCGGGCTTGGTAAT